TGACGACGCCATTGGCTACGCCCCACAGCTTCTGGAGCGCTGGTGGCAGCCCCTGCTGGAACCACTGCGGGCCTGCCTGCCGCTGGGGCCCCGCGTGCTGCCCGAAGGCTTCCCCCTGCACACGGACATCCTCGGGTAGGGCTCGGGAGAGGAGTGGGCTGGTGGTCTTCACTCCTCCTCCCGGTCTGTGACACGCTCTGTCCCACAGGCTGCTGCTCCTGAACCTGGAACTGAAACGCTGCCTCTTCACCGTGCAACCCTCTGGGAATAAAGGTGACTGAGGACGGGGGAGGATGGGGGGGGCGTGGGCCAGGGGCCGTCCTCGACCCCGTCCTTTCCCCTCCAGATCCTTCTCCAGAACAGCGCCGGCGCCTCCTCCGCAACTTCTACACCCTGGTCACCAGCACGTACTTTCCCTCAGGTCAGTGTCAGGCATGGCGCCCTGATCAGTGACACTTGAGTCCGGGGTGTACCGGGTGGGAGCAAGAGGTGGGGCTTGGAGAATCTGGCAGGTGAACCCAGCAAAGCCAGGAGCACTGAGCATTGTCACAGGCAGCTGACCGGCTCTGGAACCTCCTGTGTAATCCTAGCAATAACAGTGAAGCCCGAGGCCTCTTCTCCTGCCTGGGCTTTTTAACCATAAAGGCTCTACTCCTGAAAGCACAGCTTTCCTGGAGGCTGGCGAGTGGGGTGTGGAGTCTACAGACTCCAGGAGAGGGAGGAAGGCTCCAAAGAGTGGGACTGGGAAGACCCGTGAAGGCAGCACACTGGTGACGGCCGCACCCCTTCCGAGCTGTGTGGCCCTCCAGCCTGTGGAGGTGTGGGGGTAGGGTCCTCGGTAGGGTCTCTCCAGCCTGCACGTTGCAACCTGGGTTGTTCAGAGCACGGCCTGGGCCACACAGGCTTCCCAAGAAAGCCAGGACCATGCTGGACAGGGAGAGGGTGAAAGTCAGAGGCCCCCAAACCCTGCGCTGAGACCCCACTAATGGAAAGCCTAGGCTAGGACAGGGTATGGCTTCCGGGATTTTAGCGTTCTCAGCCCTCTCTGTCTTGTCTCCAGAGCCTGGGCCATCCGAGAAGGCGGAGGATGCAGGCCACTGGCCCCAGCTGCCAAGAGCTTGTTACCTCGTGCTGGGGCCAGGCACGGGGTGGCAAGTGGTAGCCCTGCAGCTGGGGCCTCGGCAGCTGCTGCTGCTGCTGTCTCCTCAGAGCCCCACCCATGGGCTTCGAGCCCTGGCCACCCACACTCTTCATGCCCTCACCCCATTCCTGTGACCACCCAGGAGCCAGTGAAGGACCCAGACACCGGGCTCTTAGCGTGTTTATTCGCTCACAATAATACACAGCCCCTGGTTGGGGAGGGGGCAGGAGGGGCCACGACGGGTGGGGGAGGGGGGGAGGCACCCACTTCCCTGGCCCCTCTCCCCTCTGTGCTTGGGGGTGACAGGGAAGGAGGGGGCTCCCCCTTACTCCCCAGAATGTAAACAGCAGCAGATGAACAAAAATAAAAATACAAAAGGCTGGAGGAAGGTCCCAGGCATCCCCCCACCCCTGGTGTCTTTCCCGTCACCAGTGGTGGTCCCCTCGCTGTCCCATCTGCTGAAGCTGCCTCAGTCCTAGGAGCTGCCGGACAGCAGCCACATCCCTGGGCAGGGTCCAGGACTCAGAACTGCTGGGCCAGCAGCTCGCACAGGTGACGAGAGACGGATTCCTTGCTGGTGCGCAGGGTTAGCCGGTACATCTGTGGGGGTGGGCACAGAGGGCAGAGAGGGACGGTGAGGAAGAATGTACCAAGACAGGTGACGGGTGAGTCCAAGGTCCCTCCCTCAGCACCTCTGCAGCTACACACCTGAGCCTGGGCGTTGGGCTCCAGTCGGAGCAGACAGCCCACCTGCAGGGCTTTCGTCTGGATGATTCCAGCCCCCACAAAGTTCTCAGGGTTGGGATCCACGCTGTCCAGGAGGGCAGAGCCGAATCCCAAGAGCTGGAAGCAGGGCAGCAGTCACTGGAGAGCCTGAATTGTCACCCCGCTGGGTGGCATCCCAGCACCCCAACCCGCACCCCACTTTACAGATGGCAAAGCAGGGGCCATCCATAAGGTTGGCGGCCACCAACCCGCGAGCACACCCCGGCCCCTCACCTTGGCCTTGGTGACTTCTGCATCCATGGGGTGGTTGGCTTTGAAGATTTTCTGCGCCTCCTGCAGAGGGCTGGAAACAGGAGGGTGAAAGTCAGGGAAGTCCCCGTCCCTGCTCTACCTGGTGCAGCTGTGGGCATGGCCTCCCTGTCCCTGCTCCTCACAGGCTCAGCTGCTTCCAACGCTGGAAGAAGTCCTGAGCTGCCATCTCCGTGGGCTGGAAGAACTTGTTGATGGTCACCGGGAGCTTGAGGGTGAGGGACTGGGGAGAGCCACCGTACCTGGCAGGGAGGCATGGGCTCCATGAGGCCACGCCCCCACCCGAGAAGCCCCGCCCCGCCGCACATTGGTCCACTCACCGGAAGCGCACGGACAGCAGCGGGGGCGTCAGGAAGTCCCTCAGACACTCGATGTTGAGCACCTGCTGCACCTGCGCCCCGCCGTCCACCTGTGCGGCCACACGCTTCGTCTGCACGGCCAGCTGTGCCCACTGTGGTCAAGGAAGCCAGGGACAGGGTGCCAAAGGAGTCTTGGCCATGGTCCTTTGATTTCCTGCCTGTGGGCCTCTGAAGGCTCTGCCCAGCAACCCGGCACTAACCCTACAAAGTCCCCGCTATGTGAAACCTCGGGCCCACCTCTGTGCCTCTGTGGCCTTCCACTGTGACCTCGGAGCTCCATTACTGGCTCTGGTCACGGACTCCAGCTCTCACAGCCTGGGTGACTATGAGCAAGCTACTTAATCTCTCTCAAAACCTCACCTGCAAGATGGGCACATGCAGTGGGCCGAAGATTTAGCTCAGTGGCATCGCCGCCTGCCCCCACAAGTGCAAGGTCTTGAGTTCGATCCCCGGTACCGCAAAAAAAAAAAAAAAAAAAAAAAAAAAAGCACTTGCTGCAAAATGTCCTCAGGAGTCAGTGATGTGACCCATTAGCTGCATGGCAGGTACTACACATAGACGGTAGCAGCCTGCGTCACCACCTGCACCCATGGCTGCCTCTGCGTCAACCCATCAGCAAGGAGTGGGTCTGTGTCCGCCACATGGCTGCCAACTGGGACCTCTGGAAATGATGGATGGATGGATGAATTAAGCAACTGAAAAGGTCCTCAGAGTTTTGGGGCCTAGCCCCTCTCTCACAGGTGTGGAAACGGAGGCCCAGGAAGGGGGCGACTGACACTGCCAGTGACCTTCCTGGGGCTTTTAACTGCTCTGACTTTCACAATGGCCCTAGGAAAAGCCTCAGAGAGGCCAAGTGACAGCCAGTCCCACGGAGCAGCTCTGGTCAGCATCCAAACCCAGCTGTGGCTCTTGAGTGCAGGGGTTCTAGAATCTTGGGTGCAGAGCCTAGCACAGGACCAAGTCAGGATGTGGGAGGTGCCTGGTGGGCAAACTGAAACCCAGGGCACTGGGGTGCTAGAAGTAACGCCGCCTCTATCACTTCAAGGTCACCACCTGCCTCTGTACTCAAGAGGGCTGGAGCAAGGGTCAGGACCTGGTGCCTCAGCCTGAGTGAGACAACCAGCAGGGCCAGGTCCAAGAGGATATGAGTCTGGAGGTCTCCTGGGTGGACCACGGTGGGCAAGAAGTTCTGGAACTGCACAGAGGTCTTGTTGCCGTAGAAGAGATACATGCGGCCTGCAGTGGGAGACAGGGCTCCATCTGAGTTCCTGTCTGGCATCAGCCAAGCCAAGGGCTCCCCACCACCAACCCTGTTCCCATGAGACACCCACACCCACCCAGGTTCTGCCGGAACTCCGATTTGACTCCAATCTGCAACAGCTGATTCTCGAACAAGACCCCGTTGTTCTTGCACACAAACCTGATTGAGGGGCCGGGGATTTAGCTCAGTGGTTCCTCCGCCTGCCTCGCAAGCGCAAGGACCCAAGTTCGATCCCCAGTACCAAACAAACAAATAAACCAAAAGACATGATTGGGGCTGGAGGGGAGTCGGGCTCTGAGCTCGGGCCTGGGCCCCCCATTTATCCCTAGGCCCCTCACCCACCTCTCCCAGGACTCACTTATTCAGCAGCTCGTCTGCTTCTGGGATGGGAGGGCTGATGTCCTCAGGACCTGGGCTAGAGGTCAGGAGAAAAGCAAGATGGAAAGGGGCTTGGGGGCTGGAGCCTAATGGGCATGGGACCGAGCCTCACAACCGCAGAATCCATACACCCAGATTCCCTGAAGAGCTTCGGGGAGCCCTAGTCAGACTGGGCTTGTCACTAACTCGAATGCTACCTGCCAGGTGCTCCCTCCCCATCAGAGAACCCCAAGTTCCACTTCCCTCCAATTCCTGCCATGGTTAAGCATCAGGATATCCCCTTGCCAGAGCTCCCAGTCCCCTAGCCCACCCCCCACCCCCCCAGGCCACCCCTTACTCGGCAGCTGCAGCTGGGTCAGCCAGCAAAGCCATGGGGCTCTCAGGGGCAGGCGGCTCCAGCTCGCTGGGCCATTCAATCCCAGAGCAGACAGAGAAGACAGGCGTGGCAGGCAGCCAATCCCAGAGAGGCAGCGAGAGGGCCGCAGGGAGAGGAAGGCGGGGTGAAGGAGACAAGGAAGAGCAGGCTAAGAAACAGTGAAGGGAGAGGAGACCAAGGGTGGCCAGGGGTGGCACAGATTCCAGAGTGGCCAGATAGGGGTAGCGGCCAGGGCTGGCAGAGGCACCAGGGACAGGGAGAGAGGAGCAAGGTGGGGCTGGGCAGGGGCCAGGCCAGAGTACGGTACCTGAGGAAGGCTTCCTCGGGGGTGGGCCCCAGGCTGGGCGGGGCAGCAGGGCCATCGGAGAAGACGTCCACCAGGAGGCTGCCTGCACTGGCTGGAGCTGGGGCTGCCGCTGGGGGAGGGGCTGCCCGCAGCCCCAGGAGGTCGGCAGAGGGCGAGGGGG